AGATTGCCCCAAGTACAATTCTTCTACCTAGCCTCGAAGTCACTCCATAAGCTCTTGCCATCTTAACTACCTCGTCTTGTTTTTTACCTTTCCCTACCACACACAACCTCTATTTAGTCAGGAAAGCCGCAATTCACCTTATTATTAACTTACGTTATGTTAATTAACTTTACGTTATGGCTTATAATTTCTACTTTATGCTTTGGCTTATGGTGGTCTTCTAGCCTGCAATGCCCACTGACCCTAACTGTGCCCCCATATTTAAACTAATACTGGTATTCGAGCCCCAAATTAAGTGCTACCTCTTGTATAAAGTCATCCTTTGCCACCAAATGCTGCGCAGTGGTTTTCTTTTAGAAGTGACCCGTCCAGACAGAACAAATCAATGATAACAATAATTAAATTACACAAGTAAGAGAAATCTTAGGTCAAGACTTTCTTCTGCTCCCTGATGCAGGTTAGTTTATTGCATTAATATCATCCTTCTTCTCTAATATGACTGTCTGAATGGCTCTGCTGCATGTATCCACTGTATTATAATGATTATTTTATGCATATAGTCCTTTCTCCTCCTCTACCAACCATAATTCAGGACCCCCGAGAAATCAGAAACTATGCTTTCTTCATATTGCCAGGGTGCTACACAGTACCTAATACACAGGAAATGCTTAATAAATTCTCTAACAAAATGAATGGATGCACTCACCACTCTCTATAAGGTGACAAGCTCTGTTAAAAAAGAAATTATTGTGCCTAGTTTACCCTAGTATCTCTAATACCTGGCACAGAGCCTGCCATGCAGTAAACTGAACAGATAATTGTTGAATGAAAGGAAAGATTACCTGTATCAAGAAGTAGTTAGCCATAAATTCTTCCCATGTTTTTGTGGGCTCAGGACCTACCAAATTCCATCAGGAAAGTGAAACTAAATTAATACTAATATTTAATACTAAGAGTTTCCACACATACATACAGGTGTACATAGAGATAGTACATGAAATGATGAGCACGGACAGGACCACCCTAGGAGGGTAACAAAGCCTGATCACACACACACTTTGCCATTGCAAAGTCAACTTTACATGCTTTGCAAAAGGGAAAGAGAGAGATCTGTACTTAATAAGTGCAGTGACTCCAACTGCCATTCCAAAGGAAACATACCCTCCTTCAGTCTCAGTCCCCTTATTTCAGTCCTATGATAGATATTTTGCATTGTTAAAAATGAGGCTCATCTTTAGAGTTATTTATTTTTCATACAACATGGCCCCTTAAGAGCAAGCCACTACTTCATCTGGGCCTTGGCAGTAATTAGAGTTTCAATATTGGAGAAGAAGACAGTATATGCTATGCTGTTTCCAATATGTCACCTTCTTAGGAGATTTTCACGAGTAACTGACTAAGAAGCAGTTTTTGTCTGAAGGCCGCAGAATATGTTACTCCGTTGCATAGAATGAGAAGCACAGGGGTCCAAGGACAAAACTGTGACATGCGCTGAGAAAGAAAAGTCATTAGAGAGTAAGGAAAAATGGCCAGAGGACTATGAGGAGAATTAGCAAATGTCAGTTTCCCAGAAGCCCAAAAGTGGAGAATTTCTATTAAAAAAATGATTAATGAGTTTCAACTACAGCAAAGAGATCTAGTGAGTATATTAAGGTCGCCAATCTTATTCAAAGTAAAGTTCTGGTTAGCCTTATTAATGATAGCATAAGTAAAACTACAAGACTATTGCTTTTCATTTTTCTTCATTGATGGGAACATGAGGCTAATATATGAAAGAAAGAGTACTTCAGTAAATATCCTACTTTAATAGTTAATGAAAATAGAATAATTTCTGTCTGGAGAAAAGAACATTTTCTGAATTTCTCACGTTAGGGGTCAGATCAGCCCAAAGAAACATTAGGCAATTTCGGGGATATATGGGAGAAACCGGATATGAGACAAGTGGAGAACTGGAAGTGGAATTGTGACAAGAGGCAGGAACTCCCCCCTGCACATAACCTGGTACTGAGAAAATGTTTGTAGAATTCATGGAGAAAGGGGACCTTGAACTTAGGGGGTTGGAGATAAAAGAAACTTTTCAAAAATTCTGCACAGTCATGCCTGAAGCCTAGAAAATGGCTTAGGATTGCTAAAAAGTTAGTCCATGGTCAGACCATGAGGCAACACCCTCACAGAGAATTTGCTCTTAGAAGTCACTCTTGGACATACTGGACTCAAAGAAACAAAGAAAACAAGAAAAAAAAAAGTGAAGGAAAAAGTTGAACTCAAACAGCATTGCTTTCTTATCATTAATCTTGAGGAAATTGCTGCCTACATTGAAAGCGCCCTGAAGGCAGCTTTCACTCACCTGACCAGACCGCCCCTCAGGGATGGCCACAGGTCCTGCTGACCAAGGCAAGCATCTGAGGGCCAACCTTCCACGCAACTCAAATTCATTGAAGAAGCCCTCCTGTGTATTCAGAGTAGACAGCATTGTTTGCCTCTCTCCCAGCTTGTCTTTCTCTCATACTTTTTTTGTTCTTGAATGACTATGACTCGGTTTGTGCTGCTGGCAAATGTAGCTCCTCGAGTGGGTGACTTAGGGCACGACTGTGGTGTTTGGTGCTTCCCTCCTGGGGCGCTAACAGGTGCTTCTCTGTTGTGTTTTCATAATGGCACTCTGCCAGAGTCTAGCTTTATCACTTGTCAAATTGACCCTGTGTGTTCACTGAAATCAGAATTTCAATCAATAGCACTTTTTTTTAAGAGCCAATACTATTGGGTTGGTTGGTTAGTAGAGAACTATAATAGAAAGAGAATGAGAAAAAAGAGGATTCGTAGAAGAGAATTTGCATGGGAGAGTCTGATTTAGAAACCCCAATCCCTAAAATGCAGACTGGCCCCTTTGAGTGTTCCTACAATACTGAGGATTCTGGCATTAATTATTTTTTGAATATACATTTGAGGGGGGACAACATTTGTATGTCTAATATAGTAATAGGCACTCTTAGGCGTGGGAGGTACAATAATATAAAATGTGGTATAGCGTCTACAAAATCTTTAAAATGTAGACATTATATAAAATGTAAAATCCATAATACCATTCATTTATGTTTAGCTGGAGAAACAACACAGCCTACTAAAGACACTAGGGTTCATTTTCTATGTGCATCCATTTTTTGGCTCTGTTCTAAGGGAATAGACCCAACACTTAACTTAATCTAACATATGTATTTATGTGCCCTTGCTTAGAAGTGTGAGAGGAATACAAATCTATCACCTTTGCTAAAAAAGAAAAAAACTAAAATATATTTCCAAGTGAGTTTGAGTTTGTAGTGAGGTCTTTCACTATACATGGGGTGACCATACGTCCCAATGTGCACATTGGGACGTATGGTCAACTTACCCTTGTCCCAGCCTCAGCTTACCCTCGTCCCAGCATAATGATAGATCCCCTTTCACCCCCAGATTTGTTGTAGTTCAAACAATAAACTATATCCTTGTCTTTTAAAATATATCATATTAAATGACTGGAGACATCAAATCTTCCAAAATAAAAGCTAATTTTAGCCCATCATCTTTACTTTTATAGTTTCTGTGATTACCTTAACGTTCTATCTATACCCTCTGTCTGTACTATACCCTCTATCCAACTATATCTCTATCAACTGAAGTCCTTGTGAAGTTTTTGTAGACTTAAAGTATATTCATTTCACTTTTAAGAAAACAGAAAAAATTCTACTAGTCAATGTGGAGAAATCAGGACCCCTGTACCCCACTGGTAGGAATAAAAAACGGTGAAGCTGCTTTGAAAAATAGTCTGGCAATTCCTCAAATGATTAAACATAGAGTCACCATATAACCCAGCAATTCCACTCATAGGTATCCAGCCAAAAGGAATGAAAACATATGTCCAGAGAAAAATGTTTATAGCAGCATTATTCATAAAAGTCAAAAGGCAGAAACAATCCATCAAATGAATGAATAAACAAAATGTTGTATATCCATTCAATGGAATATTACTCAGCCATGAAAAGAAATAAAGTCCTGATCCATATGGCAACGTGGATGAATCTTGAAAACATTATGCTAAATGAAAGAAACCAGTCTCAAAAGACCATATGTTATATGACTCCATTCATATGAAATGGTCAGAAAAGGCAAATCTATAGAAACAGAAGAAGATTAGTGTTTGCTTAGGGCTGTGGGGGGAGGGGAAGAGAGGAGTGTCAGATAAAGGGTACGGGGTTTCTTTTTGAGATAAAAATGTTCTAATATTGACTGTGGTGATGACTGCACATATTTGTGAATATACTGAAAACCATTGAATTTTACACATTAAACTGGTGAACTATATGGTATGTGCACTATATATCAATAAAACTGTTAAAAAAGAAAAAGAACAAAAAAGACACTACCATTCAGAATGGCAACCAAACATCGTTAATAAGACTCAACATTTATGGAGAATTCACTCTGCGGCAGTTGCTGTCTGTACTGCTTTACAGATGTCTTCTTATCAATGAACCCTCACAAAAGAACCATGGCATTGGTTCCGGAGTTATATCCACTTTGAATATAAAATGTTATGCATAAAGTTTTAAGGAAATTTCCCAAGGACACAAAAGGAGTAAAAGATGATATTGCATTTTCAAACACTCGCAGACTAATTCCAAAGCCTAAGTTTTCAGCTGTACCCTAAACTGCCAACAAGTTGATCAATCTAATTCGTACGACAGTGTCAAGAACTTGTTAGATGCAGGTCCCTCCTGACGGAGAGGCAGTCAAACCTTAGGTAAGTACAGGCCAGTTGGAGATGCATACCTCCAAAGGCAAGCTTTAAATCCATCCTACTTCCCCAGGCGCAGCCTTGCGATTGAATCCTGTAACACACTGAACTTTGCCTCCACCTGGAGCCTGCTTTTCAGCAGTGAGTAGATGGAAATCATACCCCGTCTCTATGTGAGAGAGAGCTTAGAGCAGCAATGACCTCTAAACCCAAATGGAGCTCTTGGACTTACTTCTCTGCTGGCATGGTCGTCAGCCAGTTAGCATCCTTGCGTTGTCAGTTTTATCATCATGCTTTTCTTGTTTGAGCCCCCTCTCATTTTCTCTTCCGCTGGCAACCTATTTGGGTTACACAGAAAGCATTACAATTTAGGTCTTGGCTTTCAGCTTGGTCCTCATATCAGGGATATATGCATATATTTGGGAATATTTAAGGTATTTATTTGTAACAAACAAAAAATAAATTAATACCTTCACTCAAACGAAAATTAACAATGGAGCAAATAAAATAAATAGAAGACATAGCGGGTGGGATTTTTTCTTAAATGACTTGAAAAAAACTTAATCCGCTTATATTTAGATACTATTAAAAGCTGGCTTTTTGTTGTTTTAAGAACAGTAATGTACACACCTGATAAAAATAAAATCAAGCAGGACAGATGGTTTTTAAACAGTTAAAGCATCACTAAGGGGCCTGCCTGGTGGCATGGTGCTTAAGTTCACATGCTCTGCTTCAGTGGCCGGGGGTTGGTGGGTTCAGATCCTGGGCACGGGTGTACACACTGCTCACCAAGCCCTGCTGTGGTGGCATCCCACATAGGAGAATTAGAAAGACTGGCAACTAGGATGTACAACTATGTTCTGGGGCTCTGTGGTGAAAAAAAAAAAGGAGAAAGATTGGCAACATATGTTAGCTTAGGGATAATCTTCCTCACCAAAAACGCCTGCAAAAAAGAAAAGAAAAGCATCACTGATAATTCAGAGTTTGTAAATAGGAATCTGAGATGAGCCCAGACTTTATCCCAGTGAAGACCTCAATCCCTTTAGCAATTATTTCCCAGAGAGATTCAGTAAATGGGATGCTTGGGCACAAATGTGGAGTCTAATGGTTCTTCTACCAGGTCTCATTAACTAGCCAGAACATAGCAGTGATTTTCACTCTCCATGAAGAATGTGTGTGTGTGTGTGTGTGTGTGTGTGTGTGTGTGTGAGTATGTAGGAGTTAAAGACAGAGGAAAGAGGAAGAGGATATTCTGATTCATTACCTGAATACTTTTCCACTGAACAGCCATATAAGGGCCTTTAAGTTATGGATATAATAGTGCTGTACAACTGGGTAAATGGTGCCTCCTCCACCGTGGAAAACAGGTGAGCAATTTCTTAAAATGTTAAACATCCAGGTGCCTTCAAACTGGTGAATGGATAAACAGAATGTGGTATATCCATAGAATATAATATTATTCAGCAATAAAAAGGAATGAAGAGGGAGCCAGCCCCTTGGCCTAGTGGAAAGTTCGGTACACTCCACTTCAGCAGCCTGGGTTCGATTCCCAGGCACAGACCTACACAGCTCATGGGCAGCCATGCTGTGACAGTGACACAAATATAAAATAGAGGAAGATTGGCACAGGTTTTAGTTCAGATAGAATCTTCTTCAAGTAACAAAAGGAAGATTGGCAACATATGTTAGCTCAGGGTGAATCTTCAGCAAAAGAAAAGAATGAAAAACTGATGCATCTTGCAACATGGATGAACCTCGAAAATATGATGCTAAATAAACCAGTCACAAAAATACTACATATTATATAATACGTTTACACAAAATGTCCAGAAAAGGCAAATCTACAAAGACAGAAAATAGATTAGAGGTTTCCTAGGACTAGAAGTGGAATACAGAATGACAGAAAATAGGCACTATTTTTTTTAGGGGAGTGGAAACATTCTAAAATTAGACTATGGTGATGGTTGTACAACTCTATAAATTTTGGATAAATTTAATTGTACATTTAAGACTAGCAAATTACATGATATGTAAATAATACTGTGATAAAGCTGTTAAAAATCAGTCCATATAGTCTATCACATTAAGAAAAAAAGAGAAAAGTCAATACACCGAGAGAAGGTAGATGACAAAATTCAGTTTCTAATGAGCGATTTTAAAATTATCTTTCAAAATTGTTCTCCTTAAGAGCCAGATTCTAAGCAACTGAAAAGGCGGTATAGCAATTAGGATAGAATAAGTTATGCTCTGGTCATAGAAAACCCCCAAATTTCAATGGCTTAGTAAACAAAAAGTTCATCTTTCTCCTATACTAAATGCTCAACAGGTGTCAAGAGCAGAGATTGGGGGATATAGACAAGGACTATATTCAATTTAGTGCTCAAAAGCCAAGTCTGAGGGAAGATTCATCTTAATACATATGTCCCACATTTCCAGAGAAGCAAAAAGAAACATGGGAGGGACATCATGCCCTGCATTCACGGCTTCTTCCTCAAAGTAAAACACATCACTTCTGCTCACGTATTATTGGCCAAAGTAAGGCACATGACCATAGTTAATTTCAAAATATATTGGGGAAATGCAAAACTACCATATATTCAGAAGGAGGAGAAAGGAAATATTTGTAAGTAACCCTCATGACTACTATGATTTGATAAACCTGAATCCTTCCATTATGTTGGCTACATCCAAGCAGAGTACAACCTAGCCCAGAACCCACTACCAAAGAACACGGCAGGTTAAGAAAAGTAGATATGTTGGGCTTAGCGGCCAAAGGATCAGTATTTATATTTAACAAGTTGATACATTAAAGGAAAATCTGGTAACCATGGTTAGGCCCTAGATATTAAAGATTTAAAACAACATTTCAAGATAGACTTACATCTTAGGACTTAAAAGTTATGCTTCAGTAGTTGTTAAGACTTTAATGGAAAAAAAATTTCTACAATATTAATGGGCAGGATGTTGCTAGAGTAAGTAGCATGCTTTTGCCCAGGCTGAGGCCTGGTCAGACACAAAACGAGAGCTGTAAAAACAGCGGTGGAGTCCAGAACTTTGTGGAAACGTTAAAATCATTCAGTCAAAGTTGAATTTCATTACACACTTGTTTCTATATCTCTCAAAAAGGTCATACGATTTTATACCTTTATTTTCTTAACTGTTTGATAAGAGTGATCCACGTACCCCAAGCACCACATGTTAAAAAACAAAAGTATATGTTTATTTTAGCATTCAGGGAAATACATATGAATGTAAAAGACGAAGAATTTTAATACTAAGTATGAGACAGAAAACAGAACAGCGCTCTCCCCAATCACAATGATGAAACAGGAGCTGGAATACTCGGTAAACTTCTTAAAGTAACAGACAAATTAAAATCAACATAGATTACAAAGTGACATCAAACGGTCATAGTTTTTAGAAGTTGATTGCCAATGGTTTACTCTGTTCATTCATATCAAGCAATATTTTAGACATGGGATGATGGTTTGAAAATTATCAGTCGGATTATCATAGGTGCTTCCAGAATCCTTGTTACTTTTTGTGACTTGTTAGTAGTTTGAGAGGTTTTAATTTTGTTTCACACCTCCTTTTTCCAAATAACACTAGGTATATTATTGTTATGTCTTTACCTTAGAGTTCTTTAAAGGTACCATATGAATCCTAAAAGTTTCTTTTAGACATTTAAATTAGAGTATATTTAAGAAAAAAGAAGACAAGTGCGATTTTAAAGTCATTTGGCAAACTGATTCTGTCAAGAAAGCTTAGTTTCATCCTGTTTGCTGCAACAGCTTTTTTTTCCTAACTCCACTCTTCTTGTTCTTGTAATACATTTGGGAGGCCTGTCAAGGCCTATCCACTCTCTAAATAGCTTTGCAGATTAAATTTTTAACTCTCTTCTCTTCATGCAGATGTATATTTCTGACAAAGAATTGCCCTGAGATGTCAGCTTCCATTTTTCTCACTGGAGAGAAGGCGTATAGGTGCAAGTGTGGATTCCCAATTCTCAGCCTCATCAGGAAACGCATGGCACATGTATATGCGCCTTTCCAGGACTGTGCATCTGTGTTTGCAGTGTCCGCCCTTTTTCGTTTTCCTGCTCTTACCTTACAACCTCCCTTTCCTTGAATGGGTTTTGAAGATAAAAGTATAAGAGACTAAAACAAGAAAATAAATAGTATTTTTATATTTGTAAGTTGGTAGTAATGAAGATATGTCAAAGTGATATAGTTCAAAAGAATAACACATGGGGGCTGGCCCGGTGGTGTAGCAGTTAAGTTCGCATGCTCCGCGTCCATGGCTTGGGGTTCGCTGGTTTGGATCCCAGGCGTGGACCTACACACCGCTCATCAAGCCATGGTGTGATGGCATCCCACATATAAAATAGAGGAAGATGGACACAGATGTTAGCTCAGGGCCACTCTTCTTCAGCACAAAAGAGGAGGATTAGCAGCAGATGTTAGCTCAAAAAAAAAACAAGAAAAAGAATAGCATATAGTCAAACTTGGACTATATGGGGCTGTTTTGCTTTTGCAGATGGTACTCGAGATGGACTTTAAAGGATGATTTTGTAGGGGAAAAAAGGGTAAGGTCATTCCAAGCAAATGAAACAAAAGTAAAACTACGAATTTGTAGAAAAAGCATAGTCTGTACCAAGATCTTCAAAAACATAGGCAACACTAAATTCCAAAGAATGAGGGAAAAGTGGACATTTCCTGTAATGTCCTATAGAGCTGAGCTGCCTTCAGTCCTAGGGAAGGGACTGACATTACCATAGCCAAGGGCAGGACCCACATTAGGCCACGTGCTTTGGCATTTGTCTACACTTCTCTCTTCATGTAGCTTACTATCCAATTCATAGAAAGGGTCCATCTGATAGAAGGATAATTTAAAGATGGCACTTCCATTACCCATAAGTGACAAGAAGGCAATGTCTGTACCCTCTGTCATACTAAGTGCACATCAATATATCTATCTTAAGTAAGTAAGAATTCAGGAAAATATTTTTATATTAATATATTATTTGTAATATTAAAATGGCTAAACAAACAAAAAAACTACATCTCTGACACTGGCAGAATCATACAATAGAATATACATAGACATTAAAGATGATGGTTTCCAAGAATTCCTAATGACAAGCAGAAATGCTCATTACATAAAACAGTGGGTACTGTTGAAACTTATCAAGCAAAAACTGCCAGGAATGCACAAAATTAGGTTTATTTAGCTTCCTGCAGCAAGGGAGAATGCACTGCAGAAAAAATTTAGAAGGATCTCTGCAATGAGAAGTTGAGAGGGGTTGTTTATGAAATTGGAGCTGTGCTGGATGATTTTT